TATGGAAACCAATTTGACAATAAATTTCATATATAAATAAATAAATAAATAAATAAATAAATAAATAAATAAAAAAGAAACTCTTTGAAAGAAGCAGGACCATGAGGAATCTATGTCCTAAGTCGTAATCTACCAGTCTTGGAGATCTGAAAGGGATGGAAGAGTGAATATCCAATGAGGTAGTCCCCATTTATTTTAAACAACCTCCTACTCAACCAAACAGAGCTTTTTGCTACTCTAATATACTCTAATACATTCGCAGACACTGGTAACTGTGGTTTGGGATGTTTCCACTGATTTATGTAATGAAGGGGTAAAGTAAGTACTGGGACAGAGGAAATACAAGACCAAACTGCAATGTATCCTCTCACTGTTGTCTCCAACTACTCTCTGTTCCAGGATGCTAAAGAAAACCACACAATTAGCATATTGAAGCTGGCACAAACAGATGGCTTCTTTTCTCACCTGGGCTCTCAGCACCACTCAGCTTTCTCTTTACTTGTAAGATTTCCCTTTTATTTGTTCAGTACCTATTCAAAATCCACCATACTCATCAAGCCCCTCCAAACCCTCTTCTTTTCAGCAATGAACTGAGAAATAACACCTTGCATATCTCCAGAGGCACTTTCTCATATAAGAATGGTCATCCTAGAATAAAACATAGAACATGGAGAAAATTATATCTCTAGTTGTGCTAGACTGCAGCGCTGAAAGGACTTTGAGTCCTACTTCAAAGGAAAATGAAGACAATGAAATGACAAGATAGGAAAATCACAGACCAATCTGTCTAGCCAGTGAACATATCCTTCAGGAATGAAGCAGAAATCAAGACATTCTTGGATGAAAGAAAACTAAGAGAATTTTCCACCAGTGTATCTATGCTCTGTCTAAAGGAAGTTCTTGAAGCATAAAAGAAATGATGAGAAAGGAAACATGAAACATCAGGAAGAAAGAACAATGAAAGAATAAAATTATAGGTAAATGCAATAGACTTTCTTTCCCTTGAGTTTTCTAAATTATGTTTCATGCTTGAAATAAAAATTATAATATTGTCTGATGTGATTCTCAATGTATATAGAGAAAATATTTGATAAAATTATATTTTAAATGGGGAAGGTGTAGGAATTTAAAAGGAAATAGTTTTCTGTAACTCATTTGAATAAAATATCTACACAACCTGTGGACTTTGATAAGTTATGTAAATATAATGTAATACCTATAGCAACCACTAAAAGTTCTATATAAAGAGATGTACTCAAAAATGCTAGATAAATCAAAATGGAATTCTAAAAAAATATTGAGATAACCCACAGTAAATCAGCAAAAATAAGACAGAAATGAAGAACAGAGGGAACAAAGAGAACACAAACACATACTCAAAATGAAGGACATCAGCCTTAACATATCAATAATTACATTAAATGTAAATGGTCTAAGGACTTTAATCCACAAGATGGCATAGATCCATCTCTCCCTGCTTCTCCTTCCTAGCAGCTGTACTTAACTGTAACATAACACAAGAAACAACCAAAAGATGACACTGAATGGTACAGAGAAGAAAGCGGACTGGCTACAGATCCCAGTACTGAAGGAAAAATACAGCAACTGGGCAACTTACAACCCCTTACCCAGCAACAGAAAGTGGCCTAAGGCCTGGAATTTCCTGACCCTAACATATTAGATGAAGTTGACTCTGGTAGGCTCAGGCCTTCTCCAGATCCAACGGGAATCCCGCTGAATACTCCCTCTGGGCCCAGTGGAACGGCTGAGGGTGATCAAGTGAAACCTCCAATGATAAGTGGCCAGGGAAACTACTCTTTTTTTCTGTGAGCTAGAAAGTTCCTTCCCTTACCCAGAGATGCCCAGTGGCCACAGTGGCACCAGTAGGGGGAATACCATCACAACAACATTCTAGAAAACATTCTTTGTATTCTCTGGTTGAAGACCCTTTTCAACCACCTAGAGACGCTGATAGTCTTGACAGCACTGGGAGTGGGGAATCCTACCACAAGTAGCCAAATACAGTAAGTACAGGCAGTATTTCCCTTTTTGTATAAAATATCCAGAAAGGGGCAAATTATTGGAGAAAAAAGGAGGTTGCCTGGGATTGGGGATGGGAGCAGAGAGTGACTAGAGATGGATTCAAAAACAGGTTTTGGGAGTGTTGGGAAATGTTCTAAAACTAGATTTGGTGATGGTTATGTGACTTTATAAATCTACTAAATATTATTGAAATGTATGCTTATAATAAGCAAATTTTGATGGTATATAAATTACACCTCAATAAAACTGTTTTTTAAAACTCACAGCTGAGAAGGAATTTCTTTAACCTCATAAAGTGCATCTATAGCTAAAATCATTCTTTTTTTAATTTTTTTTAATGTTTATTTATTTTTTGAGAGAGGGAGAGAGGGAGAGATAGAGCACAAGCAGGGGAGGGGCAAAAGAGAGAGAGAGAGACAGAATCCGAAGCAGGCTTCAGGCTCCGAGCTGTCAGCACAGAGCCCGATGCAGGGCTCAAACTCACAGAGTGTGAGATCATGACCTGAGCCGAAGTCTGGCGCTTAACCAACTGAGCCACCCAGGTGCCCCGCTAAAATCATTCTTATAAAAAATTGAATACTTTGAACACCACAAAAAAGACAAATATTCTTATTTTACACTCCTATTTAACATCTTATCAGAAGTCCTAACTAGTGCAATAATGCAAGAAAAAGAAATAAAAGGCATACAGAATGTAAAGGAAGAAATAAAACTAAACTTTAATCATTAGAAAAACATCAGACAAATCTCAACTGAAGGACATTTTATAAAATATGTGACCAGTACTCCTCAAAATGGACATCATCAAAAATAAAGAAAATCTAAGAAATTATCAAAACCAGGAGGAACCTATGGAGACATGATGACTGAATAAAATGTATCCTAGATGGTATCTTGGAACCGAAGAAGACATTAGGCAAAAACTAAGGAAATCTGAATAAAGGACTTTGCTTAAAAATAATCTGTCACTTTTAAGTCATTAATTGTAACAAATGTACATTTCTAATGTAAGATGTGAATCATACGGGAAACTAGGTGTGGGAGATATGGGAACCCTCCATATTACCTTGACAACTTTAAAAACAAATTCTTTTAATGTTTATTTATTTTTGAGAGAGAGACAGAGTGTGAGTGGGGGAGGGGCAGAGAGAAAGAGACACAGAAATTGAAGTAGGCTCCAGGCTCTGAGCTGTCAGTACAGATCCCTACAGGGTGCTCAAACTCAGGAACCAGGAGATCGTGAACTGAGCTGAAGTTGGAGCCTTAACCGACTGAGCCACCCAGGTGCCCCTACCTTGGCAACCTTTCTATAAAGGTGCTCAGCAAAGTGAAAAAAAAAATCCCAATACCAGTAGTCATTAGGGAAATGCAAATTAAAACCACTTTAAAATACCAACTACACCTATTAGAATGGCTAATTTAAAAAAACTGATAATACCAAATAGTGCAAGGCTGCAGAGCAACCAGACTCTTACACATTGTTAGTGGGAATGAAAAAGTGATAGTTTTTTTAAGTTTATTTATTTACTTTGAGAGAGAGAGAGAGAGAGAGAGAGAGATCCCAAGCAAACTCCACACTGCCAGTGAGGAGGAACCCAATGTGGGGCTCAAAACCCCCAAACCATGAGATCATGACCTAAGCCAAAATTTAGAGTTGGACACCTAACTATCCATGCCCCCCCAGGTGCCTTAAAAGTGATAGTCATTTTGAAAAACATTTTGGCAATTTCTTTTAAAGTCAAACATTCACTTACCACACAACCCAGCAATTCAACTTCTGGGTAATTGCCTAAGTGAAATGAAAGCCTATGGTCACACAAAAAACTGTATACAAGTGTGTATTGCAGATTTATTCTTAATTGCCCCAAGCTGAAAACAACCCAACTATATCTCAAGGTCTTAATGGATAAACAAACAGTGGTACATGCATATAAGGGAATATCACTCATCAATAAAAAAGAAGAAACTATTAACACATAAAAGGAAACAGATTTAAAAAGCTACATACTGTACTATTCCACATATATAATGTTCTGAGAAAAGAATCACTGTAGGAATGGAGAATTGATTACTTAGTGATAGAGGTTAAATGTTGGGGAGGAAGTTGGAAATACAATAAAAGGCTCAAGGATATTTGGGGGGTTCATGGAATTGTTCTGTATCTTCATTGTGGTGGTGGTTATACACTACACATTTGTTGAAATTCATAGAACTGTACACAAAATAGTAATCTTTTATTGTATCTACATTAAAAATAACACCCACAAATCAATTAAATTTCTTTGTTTTATTTTTTTAGGTAGAGAGAGAGCAAGGAAGATGGGAAGAGGGAGAGAGAGAATCCCAAACAACCTCCATGCTCAGCACAGAGCCCCTTGCAGGGCTCAAGCCCACAACCTTGGGATCATGACCTAAGCCAAAATCAATAGTTGGACACTAAACCTACTGAGCCACCCAGGCACCCCTACATTTCTATATTCCATCAACAAAGAGTTAGAAAACAAAATTCTTAGAAGATACCTTTATGACAGCATCAAAAAATACTGAAAACATAGTAATCAACCTAACAAATGATATGTGGTAACACTTGAGGGAAAATTATGAAAATTAATTGGGAAGTATTGATATGGAACTGAATGTGTTCCCCCAATATTTATATGTTGGAATCTAATCCATAGTGTGATGGTATTAGGAGGTGGGGCTTTTGGGAAATTATAAGATCATAAGGGTGGAGCCCTCATGAATGGAATTAATGCCTTATAAAAAGAAGCCCCAGAGGTCTCTCTAGCCTCTTCTGCCATGTGAGACCACAGAGAGTAGATAGCCATCTATGAACCAGGAAGTTATATCTCACTAGACACTGAATCTGCTACCACCTTGATCTTGGCCTTCCTAGACACCAGAACTATGAGAAATAAATTTCTGTTGTTTATAAGTCAAGCAGCTTATGGTATTCTGTTATAGCAACCCCAATAGACCAAGACAGGAATAATAAAAACCCTTATGGGGGTGCCTGGGTGGCTCAGTCGATTAAGCGTCCAACTCTTGATTTTGGCTCAGGTCAAGATCTCATGGTTTGTGACATGAAGCCCCGCCTCAGGCTCCATGCTGACAGCATGGAACGTGCTTGATATTCTGTCTCTCTCTCTCTCTCTCTCTCTGTCACTCTCTCTCTCTCTCAAAATAAATAAATAAACAAAAAATCATTATGAAGGAAAGATACACCATATTCATTAATTGCATCACTCTGTAAAGATGTCGATTCTCCCCAAATTGATCTATAGATGTACAGAAAATCCAGTAAGAATCCCAACAGGATTCGTGGTGGGTGTGGTTGAGATATTGACATCTTGATTCTAAAATATACATGGAAATGCAAAGGAACAAAAATATTCAAAGCACTCTTAACATAGAAGAGTGAAGCGGGAAGCCTTGTTTTTCCAGATACCAAGACTTGTTACAAAGCTATTGTCATTAAAGTAGTAGGTATTGACAAAGGGAGAGGAAGATGGCGGTGCAGGAGAATGCTGGGCTCACCCCGTCCTGCTGACCACTTAGATTCCACCCACATCTGCCTAAATAACCCAGAAAACTGCCAGAAGACTAGCAGAATGGACTCTGCAGAGCCAAGCATAGATGGGAGGCCCACAGAAGAGGGTAGGAAGGGCGGAGAGGCAGTGTGTGCAACACGAACTAGTGGGAGGAAGCCAGGGCAGTGGAGGGGCAGCCCACCTGGCAATGCAGAGTCCCCGAGTCTGGCTTGCAAAAGTAGAGGGGCTGGACGGAGAGTGTTCTGACAGCCAGTGGGACTTAACATCTGGAATGTTATAAGTCACCAGCTCTGCTCCGAGAGTGGGAGGGTTAGAGGACAACGGGAGGGAGAGTTGTTGAGTCCCAGAGGACAGAGCTCAGCTTGGCAGGGAACAAAGGCACTCACCAGCGCCATCTCCCTCTCACATCCCCCAGCCAAAATCCCAAAGAGAAACAGTTCCCCTCATGGAACTTACTTGCACTGTGCAAACACCCAATGCTGTGCTTCTGCGGATCCATCCCTCCAACAGGTCTGCCTCCCTCCCAGTGCCACAGGGCCCCTCCCGAAGCAGACCACTGAAGGCAAAGTGAGCTGAGCCTGCCCCTCCCACCCCTGTGCACCTTGCAGATACAACCCGGCTAATATGCCAGATCACATTGAAGCAGCACCACAAGCCTGGCAGTGTTCAATTAGCCCAGACAGGGGCCACACAACTCCACAGTGAGTCCTGCACCTGGGAGAGGGGAATATAAGGTACACACCAGTCTGACTATTGCCCCAGCAGTGGGCTGGGGGCAGACATCAAGTCTGACTGCGGCCCCACCCACTAACACAAGTTACTCCAGACAGCACAGAGGAAGAGCTCTGCCATTCCACGCCACTCCAGGGACTATCCAAAATGATGAAACGGAAGAATTCTCCTCAAAAGAAACTCCAGGAAGTAGCGAGAGCTAACAAACTGATCAAAAACGATTTAAGCAATGTAACAGAAAAGGAATTTAAAATAATAGTCATAAAATTAATCACTGGCTTGAAAAAAGTATAGAGGACAGCAGAGAATCTATTACTACAGAGATCAAGGGACTAAGAAACAGTCAGGAGGAGCTAAAATGCTATAAATGAGCTGCAAAATAAAATGGAGGCCACCACAGCTCGGATTGAAGAGGCAGAGGAGAGAATAGGTGAATTAGAAGATAAAATTATGGAAAAAGAGGAATCTGAGAAAAAGATAAAAAATCCAGGAGTATGAGGGGATAATTAGAGAAATAAGTGACACAATTAAACGTAATAACATACACATAATTAGGATTCCAGAGGAGGAAGAGAGGGAAAGGTGCTGAAGGTGTACTTGAAGAAACCATGGCTGAGAACTTCCCTGATCTGGGAAAGGAAAAAGGCATTGAAATCCAAGAGGCACAGAGAACTCCCTTCAGATGTCACTTGAATCGATCTTCTGCACAACATATCATACTGAAACTGGCAAAATACAAAGATAAAGAGAAAATTCTGAAAACAGCTAGGGATAAGCGGGCCCCAACATACAAAAATAGACACATAAAGGTGGTAGCAGACCCAACTACTGAAACTTGGCAGGCCAGAAAGGAATGGCGGGAAATCTTCAATGTGTTGAACAGAAAAAATATGCAGCCTAGAATCTTTTACCCATCAAATCTGTCATTTAGAATAGAAGGAGAGATAAAGGTCTTAACAAACAAAAACTGAAGGAATTCATCACCTCTAAACCAGCCCTACAAGAGATCCTAAGGGGAACTCTGTGAGAGAAATGTTGCAAGGACCATAAAGTACCAAAGACACCACTACAAACATGAAACCTGCAGATATCACAATGACTCTAAACCCATATCTTTCTAAAATAACACTGAATGTAAATGGAATAAATGCTCCAACCAAAAGACATAGGGTATCAGAATGGATACAAAAACAAGACCCATCTATTTGCTGTCTACAAGAGACTCATTTTAGACCTGAGGACACCTTCAGATTAAAAGTGAGGGGATGGAGGGCGCCTGGGTGGCGCAGTCAGTTAAGCGTCCGACTTCAGCCAGGTCACGATCTCGCGGTCCGTGAGTTTGAGCCCCGCGTCAGGCTCTGGGCTGATGGCTCAGAGCCTGGAGCCTGTTTCCGATTCTGTGTCTCCCTCTCTCTCTGCCCCTCCCCCGTTCATGCTCTGTCTCTCTCTGTCGCAAAAATAAATAAATGTTGAAAAAAAAATTAAAAAAATAAAATAAAATAAAAGTGAGGGGATGGAGAACTATCTATCATGCTACTGGAAGTCAAAAGAAAGCTGGAGTAGCTATACTTATACCAGACAAAACAGACTTTCAATTAAAAGTTGTAACAAGAGATGAAGAAGGGCATTATATAATAATTACAGGGACTATCCATCAAGAAGAGCTACAATTATAAATGTCTATGGGCTGAATACGGGAGGCCCCAAATATATAAAACAATTAATCACAAACATAAGCAACCTTATTGATAAGAATGTGGTAATTGCAGGGGACTTTAATACTCCACTTACAACAATGGAGAGATCATCTAGACACAGGATCAATAAGGAAACAAGGGCCCTGAATGATATTTCGGATCAGATGGACTTGGCAGATATATTTAGAGCTCTGCATCCCAAAGCAACAGATTATACTTTCTTCTCGAGTGCACATGGAACATTCTCAAGATGGATCACATTCTGGGTCACAAAACAGCCCTTAATAAGTATAAAAGAATTCAGATCAAACCATGCACACTTTCAGACCACGATGCTATGAAACTTGAAATCAACCACAGGAAAAAGTCTGGAAAACCTCCAAAAGCATGGAGGTTAAAGAACACTCTATGTGTTCATAGGTGAATGGTTCAACCAAACAATTAGAGAAGAAATTTTTAAAAATAGGGAAACAAATGAAGATGAAAATACAACAATCCAAACGCTTTGGGACGCAGCGAAGGCAGTCCTGAGAGGAAAATACATCGCCATCCAGGCCTATCTCAAGAAACAAGAAAAATCCCAAATACAAAATCTAACAGCACACCTAAAGGAAATAGAAGCAGAACAGCAAAGACAGCCTAAACCCAGAAGAAGAAGAGAAATAATAAAGATCAGAGCAGAAATAAACAATATAGAATCTAAAAATACTGTAGAGCAGATCAATGAAACCAAGAGTTTGTTTTTTGAAAAAATAAACAAAATTGATAAATCTCTAGCCAGGCTTCTCAAAAAGAAAAGGGGGATGACCCAAATAGATAAAATCATGAATGAAAATGGAATTATTACAACCAATCCCTCAGAAATACAAACAATTATCAGGGAATACTATGAAAAATTATATGACAACACACTGGACAACCTGGAAGAAGTGGACAAATTCCTAAGCACAACACACTTTCAAAACTCAAACAGGAAGAAATAGAAAGCTTGAACAGACCCATAACCAACAAAGAAATTGAATCATTTATCAAAAATCTCCCAACAAATAAGAGTCCAGGACCAGATTGTTTCCCTGGGGAATTCCACCAGACTTTAAAGCAGAGGTAATACCTATCCTTCTCAAGCTGTTCCAAGAAAAAAGAAAGGGAAGGAAAACTTCCAGACTCATTCTATGAAGCCAGCATTACTTTGATTCCTAAACCAGACAAAGACCCAGTAAAAAAAGAGAGCTACAGGCCAATATCCCTGACGAATATGGATGCAAAAATTCTCAGTAAGATACTAGCAAATTGAATTCAGCAGCATATTAAAAGAATTATTCACCATGATCAAGTGGGATGCATGCCTGGGTTGCAGGGCTGGTTCAACATTCGCAAATCAATCAATGTGATACATCACATTAATAAAAGTAATGATAAGAACCATATGATCCTGTCAATCGATGCAGAAAAAACATTTGACAAAACTCAGCATCCTTTCTTAATAAAAACCCTCGAGAAAGTCGGGATTGAAGGAACATACTTAAACATCATCAAAGCCATTTATGAAAAACCCACAGCTAACATCATCCTCAACGGGGAAAAACTGACAGCTTTGTCCCTGAGATCAGGAACACGATAGGGATGCCCACTCTCACCGCTGTTGTTTCACATAGAGTTGTAAGTGCTAGCATCAGCAATCAGACAACAAAAATAAATCAAAGGCATAAAAATTGGCAAAGATGAAGTCAAGCTTTCACTTTTTGCAGATGACATGATATTATACGTGGAAAACCCGATAGACTCCACCAAAAGTCTGTTAGAAGTGATACATGAATTCAGCAAAGTCGCAGGATACAAAATCAATGTACAGAAATCAGTTGCATTCTTATACACTAATAGTGAAGCAACCAAAGACAAATAAAGAAACTGATCCCATTCACAACTGCACCAAGAAGCATAAAATACCCACGAATAAACTTAACCAAAGATGTCAAAGATATGTATGCTGAAAACTATGGAAAGCTTATGAAGGAAATTGAAGAATATATAAAGAAATGGAAAAACATTCCGTGCTCATGGATTGGAAGAATAAATATTGTTAACATGTCAACACTACCCAAAGCTATCTACACATTTAATGCAATCCCAATCAAAATTGCACCAGCATTCTTCTTGAAACTAGAACAAGCAATCCTAAAATTCATATGGAACCACAAAAGGCCCCAAATAGCCAAAGTAATTTTGAAGAAGAAGACCAAAGCAGGAGGCATCACAATCCCAGACTTTAGCCTCTACTACAAAGCTGTCATCATCAAGACAGCATGGTATTGGCACAAGAACAGACACGTAGACCAATGGAATAGAATAGAAGCCCCAGAACTAGACCCACAAATATATGGCCAACTAATCTTTGGCAAAGCAGGAAAGAATATCCAATGGAAAAAAGACAGTCTCTTTAACAAATGGTGCTGGGAGAACTGGACACCAACATGCAGAAGGATGAAACTAGACCACTTTCTCACACCATTCACAAAAATAAACTCAAAATGGATAAAGGACCTGAATGTGAGGAAACCATCAAAACCCTAGAGGAGAAAGCAGGAAAAAACCTCTCTGACCTCAGCCGCAACAATGTCTTACTTGACACATCCCCAAGGGCAAGGGAATTAAAAGCAAAAATGAACTATTGGGACCTCATCAAGATAAAAAGCTTCTGCTCTGCAAAGGAAACAATCAACAAAACTAAAAGGCAACCAACAGAATGGGAAAAGATATTTGCAAATGACATATCAGATAAAGGGCTAGTATCCAAAATCTATAAGGAGCTCACCAAACTCCACACCCAAAAAACAAATAATCCAGTGAAGAAATGGGCAGAAAACATGAATAGACACTTCTCTAAAGAAGACATCCAGATGGCCAACAGGCACATGAAAAGATGCTCAACGTTGCTCCTCATCAGGGAAATACAAATCAAAACCACACTCAGATATCACCTCACGCCAGTCAGAGTGGCTAAAATGAACAAATCAGGAGGCTGCAGATGCTGGAGAGGATGTGGAGAAACGGGAACCCTCTTGCACTGTTGGTGGGAATGCAAACTGGTGCAGCCACTCTGGAAAACAGTGTGGAGGTTCCTCAAAAAATTAAAAATAGATCTACCCTATGACTCAGCAATAGCACTTCTAGGAATTTACCCAAGGGATACAAGGGATTGCTGATGCATAGGGGCACTTGTACCCCAATGTTTATAGCAGCACTTTCAACAATAGCCAAATTATGGAAAGAGCCTAAATGTCCATCAACTGACGAATGGATAAAGAAATTGTGGTTTATATATACAATGGAATACTACTTGGCAATGAGAAAGAATGAAATATGGTCTTTTGTAGAAACGTGGATGAAACTGGAGAGTGTTATGCTAAGTGAAATAGAGATAGAAAGACAGGTACCATATGTTTTCACTCTTATGTGGATCCTGAGAAGCTTAACAGAAGACCATGGGGGAGGGGAAGGAAAAGAAAAAGAAAAAAGAGGTTAGAGAGGGTGGGAGCCAAAACATAAGTGACTCTTAACAACTCAGAACAAACTGAGGTTTGATGGGGGGTGGGAGGGAGGGGAGGGTGGGTGAGTGGTATTGAGGAGGGTACCTGTTGAGATGAGCACTGGGTGTTGTATAGAAACCAATTTGACAATACCTTTCATATTAAAAAAAATAATGAGGACAACAGGAAATCAAAAAAAAGAGCAGGTTAAGGAGTGTTATGTTAAGTGAAATAAGTCATACAGAGAAAGACAGATACCATATGTTTTCACTCTTATGTGGATCCTGAGAAACTTAACAGAAGTCAATGGGGGAGGGGACACAAAAAAAAGAGGTTAGAGAGGAAGATAGCCAAAGCATAAGAGACTCTTAAAACCTGAGAACAAACTCAGGGTTGATCGGGGGTGGGAGGGAGGTGGGGGGGGGTGGTTTCTCTGCTAAATCAGGACTGGTCTCATGGGTATGAACCTTGTGCTGGTTCAGAGGGACCCATGTTTAGAAAGGCCTTGTGCTTGTTTTAATTCTCTGCTGCCACATCCTTAAAATTCTTAATAATTTTTGAACATGTGTCTTCACATTTTAATTTTGCACTACTTGCAAATTATGTAGCTAGTCCTGCCTAAGCTTCTGTCATATATCCTACTGCCCATTGAACACCTCCATCTCTCTCTGTCCAAAGCTGCACTCAAATCTTTCTATCTCAATGTCCCTAATTTTCTGATATTCTATAAGAAATGGTAAGATCATGGTAAGATCTATCAGTCAATGGTAAGATCTGGTCATCCAACCCATAGCCATCCTTCATTTCACCTCCTCTCTACACTCAGGTCTGCCACCTAAACTTTCTACCATTTCCTTAAAATTATTTCCTTGAATTATTTTTTTTATATCCATTACTGTTGTTTGTTCAGATCCTCATTTTCTTTTGTCTTTAATTTCACAATATTCCTCTTTAAAAGTTTGTCCTCACATTATGAAGATAAAAAGCTTCTGCACAGCAAAGGAAACAACCAACAAA